TCAGAGGTTTTGAAAATTGCAACTCTTGGCTGCCTATATTAGCTTTGGCGGAAGAAGCAACTATGTGATTACTTTTCTTTGTTGATGACAATGGAAAAATTTCTGAAATGATAAAAAGAATTAATTTGTAACAATTTGACAAATCATAAAAAGCGTAATATAAGTTATTACTATAAAGTTAGTATTACATAATGTTATGATGAAAATAAAATGTCCAACATGTTTATGAAGCAGTGGTTGTCCTCATAAACATGTTGGACACCACCTTCCTCCTTCCACTAACTTCCTACACTACTTATTTCTCTAATTTTTAATGTTTTTTAAAAAATTTTTTAGAAATAGGTGTTTTTCTATAATTTTTCTAACAAAATGGTGCACTGTTTTTTTTAAAAAAAACCTTTTCTTTTTAGACAAAAAAAAAAGAACCAGATTTTATGTCTCTTGTTTACAGCAACTACTGCAATTGACCTCAAAGTTAAAAAGCGTAGTTTAGTTTTAGTTTTTCTTATTTTTGTTTTTGATTTCTTCATCAATACGCTTTTGTACCTGTTACTTTTTCAGCTTTTGTCTTTATAAGTTTACTTTTGTTTGAATATAACCTTTAAATGTTTTAATGTTATTTAATAGACTTTCCCACCTTCATTCATTTAACTTCCACAAACATCTTACACTATGTTTCACACCAGTTTTTTTTTTGTTTTTTTTAAATATTTACATTACTATTAAAGTTTGTTGAGGATGCAACTTTGCTGAATAACGTTTTGCGCTGAATTTTGGTTGTTGAAACCATTAATAGCAGTACCTACCATGGTAGTACAGGAAGTAAAAAAAGTACCATGGTAGTACAGGAAGTAAAAAAAGTACCATGGTATTACAGGTAGATGAAACTGAAAAGAATACAACCTTACACATCAAATTTGATATTACACATCAAATTCAAATTGGCTGCCTGTTCTAACAATCAAAAAGTGAAAACTGTTCTTATCAAAGATTTTTAATATCGATAAAGAAAAACACCAAAGATGGAACCTTTTGGTATGTTACTAGAAATGCAGTTTTATCCATCAAGAAAAACTTTGATATAATGGTTAGAAAAATAATTTAATAACTTTAAAAACTTTCCCAGAATCATCATATGAAGAAAAAAGGTGAGTATGCCAGACTATATAAAAAGTCATTGATATTTTAAGAGCAGTAGACATTGCCTCACCGCTTCCGTCTAATGTGCAATAGAACTTTTATTGGACATCTAATGTACAATAAAATTTTACTGTTAAAATAGTTAACAAGTCAGCAGTGTAATAAGAGAATTGAAATTGATATGAAGATTTTGCAAAGACTGTGCTGATAATAGTAAGAAGACTAAGAATAGTTGAGAGGTCATTCTGACCCCTCTAACTATTTCCTAGAGTTTTTTAAAATTGGAAGCACAAACACTCAAATGAAAATAACTTTAGCAACTGAAGCAGGAGTGATTTGGATGTCTAATAATAGATAAATCTGCTTCTTTAAGATGATGGAAAGAGTGTGACCATTAGATTCAAAAGATGAGTTAGAGGAAAAGTTCTTTAGAAATAGTTATGCCTTAACTTTGGGAGAATAATAAGATCAGACCATGCATGAGAGATAAAATTCTGTTAATTATATAATATTAGTGTTAGTCATAAAATATTATTGTTTATTAACTAGAACTACACTCTCATAGACTTGTCATAACATTTTTTGCCAAACTAACCAAAATTATACTTATTTCACTTGATCTTGTTTTCATATATTCAACTTTTATGTTCTATATATATATTATTTTATATACATATTATTTTATGTTCTATATATTTTTTTGTAAAGAAATTCTGTATAAATTGCTTTTATGTAAATTTTTTTTATGAATAACCTTTTGATGTATCTGACAGTTTTGGTGCATTACTTTTATATCTTGAGTAATACAAGTAACCATTTTTAAAGTTTTCATTGTTTCCTTTTAACAAAACATCTCTGCGTATATTCCAAATCGTCTCAAGATTAAAGTCTAAAAGTCAACAAAATAAACCATTTAAAACTCTGTTATCAATTAACTAGTTAAGATTAAATACACAATGTATTACAACACAGCGTAAAACAATAAAGTAGTACAACACAGAATACAACAATAAAGTATTACAACACAGCATATAAAAATAAAATATACTTAAATATTTTATACCAAATAAACACTAGGCATAAAAAAATAGTAAACAATCTTTTAAATTACTAAATACATCAATTTCGATATATAATTTTACCTCTTCAAGGTTGCGGGGGTCAACAGTCAAGAAAGCTACTCTTTTGTTGTTGTTATTGTTGTTGTTGTTATTGTTAATGTTGTTGTGTCTGTTGTTGCTGTTGTTGTTGTTGCTGTTGTTGATGTTGTTGTTGTTGCTGCTGCAGTTGGTTACTGTTTTTTTGTTTACAAACCTCTCTTAACTTTTTAATACAGAAATACAACCCTTGACAAACAATGTCACTGCACAGAGAAATAAGTTGATTTTAAAATTGATTGTAATTAACCATTCAAATTGATTAAAATTTAATAATTTTAATAACCATGATAAAAATACAATGTGATGAAATAGGTTAATGTCAGAAAAAAACCTTTTTTATTATAAAACTTCATGGAAAATGAATCATAAGACTATTTTTCCAAAAAGTTTATTTTAACTTTTTTAAATCAAAACCCAAATTAAAAAAAAAAATAAAATATTTTAACTTTTGCTTAAATAAATGATTTTATACATTAGAACTACCTGTCCACACCCTAACCCATACTACAACCTGTCCACACCCTAAGCCATATATGTAACTGTCCGCACTCTAACCCATCTATGTACAGTAGGTACAGCCCCTGCTTATCACTATTTCACTATTATTTCTATTTAATAAGTAACGTAATGTGCAAATCTGTAGTAATTGATCATTGCCAAACATTTATATTATGTTTGGCGATGATCAATTACCAGACATAATATAAATGTTTGGTAATTGATCATTGAAAGTTGACTATTTGTGTTAGAGATTGAGAAAGCCAAAAGTTGTATTCCTTAACACCTGCAGAGTCACTGACAAGAGAACCAAGTTATTCAGTGTGATGAGCATTAAAATCACCAATAACAACAATATTGACTGAAGGATAAAGAAATAGAGCTTGGTCAATTTGATCAGAAATAACATCAAAAAGAGGGCAGTCTTAATATGAAGGAGAAAGATATAAAACAAAGAGAAAGGTGATAGAGTGCTAAAGGAAAGCACAAAAAAGAATAGTCTGTAGATTCAAACCTAGTTTCCCGACAAATGAGTGAATTTTTACGAATCCAAAGGCCAAGCATGTGACTATTGAAGTCTTTAAAAATTAAAGAAGATAACCATCAACAATAAGATCACAAGGTAAGACAGCTGAAATCAAATTAGCCTCATAATGAGTTTCCCGTATGTGGTAGCGGTGTAGTGGTAGAGCGCTCGCCTGATAAGCGAAATGTTTCAAGTTTGATCCCTACCACATCCTTGGTAGTAGCTGTAACAAAAGGCTTCAAAGGTTGCCTTGACAATGCACACCAAAAGTAAAAACATCAATGCACGAAATGGCAATGTTAGTACTATGATATTTTACAGCTATGATGGAGTCAGCCTCTCTGAGAGCTACCACAGAGTTTGGGAAACTTGACTACCACCCAGCCTCAGAATCCTAAAACTGAGTATTAGAGTTATATCATCATTAGGAGATAATAGAATGAGTTGCCTAGTCATAAAAACAGAGGCGCAAACAAAACCCATGCAATCCAGCATTCAACATCCTAAACTGGAAGCAATGTATTATAAATATATCTACACCAGCCTAATAGATGAAGAAAGGGTGCAAAGCTGGTTAACAGATAGAATCTGTTAACCCCTTGAGTCTTTGCCTAGAAGGCCTTCTACAAGACAGTAGCCGTATGCATTTAACATCTGCCCAAGATGAGTATTTTTATCAAGACATCATCTCTAGACGTTACTAGACCAAAACTGCAAACTTATGTATAGAAATTCTTGTTACAGATTTTCAAGAGTTGCATTAAAGTATTACCATATGTATTACAATATGGTGAAAAATGTCCACCTATAACTTTTGCAGCTCTTACAACAATGAAAACTGTTCCTCCAGGTTTATTTGCTAATCTTACTAAAGATTGCCAACCTATTGCCACTAGATCTCAACACAAATTTCAATGAGATAAAAAATTTAATAAATCTGAAATCCATTTTTTGGTTGAAACAGGTATAATAGAGCCAAGTAATTCATCTTGGCAAGCTCAAATTTTAATAGTAGATGAAAAAACTAAATATTTTTTATTTAGAAAATAAAAAATGTTTTAAAGCCTTAAAAATCATTAAAACAATTTTTCCTTTCTATTATTTAACATTTACAGTTTAATTAAAACAAAAATTACAAATAAAATCTAAACTCATATTTGAAATTGATATTGTTATTTTTCTTAAAACATTTTAAATCTATTATTTACTTTATTACATATTAGGTTTGGTTATTTTATGCTGACTGTTAATCTGTTGATCTTTGTCATTTGTTTTTGCTTCTTTATTTTCCTTTAGGTCATTTGAAAGTTTGATCGCATTTCTGTAGACAGAACTTTGTTAATGCTGAAAAACGCCATCTTTTTTAATGTCACCTGTCTCATTTATATAACGTAATTTAGATGTTCTTTTTGCTCCTTTGGTATTGGCCAAGATATTTTCTTGATAAAGCGCAAATACATTACAGAAGATTTTCTCTTCAGCAGTTTCTGTACAAAAAATTTCTGATAGACTTTTTAAAAGTTTTCAAAGTGACTCTGTTTTTATTCAAAATGTTATCTATTTGATAAATAATTTGATAAATTTAAAAAAAGTATAGAAAGATTGAATATTTGATTTGTTGAAAGCCATAGTAAACAAAAAGCCATAGTAAACAAAAAAACCCTTATAAAGAAAATGTCATTAGGATACAACAAATAACTATCAAAAGCTAGAAGTTTATTCTGTTTTATTAAAAACACATTGCTGTTATCTTTTTATTAAAGCAATTCTAATCTATAAACAAATTTAAGGTGCATTAAATGATAGCCAGCCTTACTAAGTGTAATAATTATTTTACTTTAAATTATAATTAATGTAGCCGCATTTGTCTTTAATTTTTTTCCAGATGAGGCCTGTATAAAATTTTCCTATCCGATAGTTACTAACTATGTAACATTTTAGTTGTGAGCTATGTAACATTTTAGTTGTGAGCTATGTAATAATTCTTGTTACTAAAGAAATATCCATAAAATCATTGTGATTAGAGAAAAAACATTTTTAAAAACAAGAAAAAATTAATTATGATAAACATTTTCTTTTTTTTCTTAAGTATTTGTTAAAAATATACTTTTGTATAAATTTTTATAAATATCATTGATAAGGTAATTTGAATTTAAATACTTGAGTAACCAAATCTGGTAAATCATATGCAATTTGACCCGGATATAAACTTTCAGTCATATCACACCATTTTGGGTTGAAATTAAAAGTAATAAAAAAATCTTTTTCTATTTTGTTTCTTTCTAATAGTTGTTACAAGTTTCATTTATTTATAGCTACAATTTCATACTACTTTACAGTTTTAAACAGTGCTAATGCAAAGCAAAAAAACTACCAACAATTTTTTTTTTAAAGAACTTGATTTTGGTAAAATATTAAATATAAATAAGTAGTAGAAAATCACTTAGCAAAAATTCTTTTCATTTAACAGTGTTTCATCAATAAAGACTCTTCAGAAATCAGATTTCTGATGAGTCTTAATTTTAATAGGAATTTTAAGAGTCTTTATTGATGGAACACAGTGTTAAATAAAAAAATTTTTGCAAAGTGATTTTCTATTACTTTATGATTGCGCTGTTCTTTTAAGAACATTAAGCACTCTATTTTGTAGAATACATTTTAAAAATTGTTTAAATATATATATATATATATATATATATATATATATATATATATATATATATATATATATACACATATATATATATATATATATATATATATATATATATATATATATATGTATATATATATATATATATATATATATATATATATATATATATATATATATATATATATATATATATATATATATGTATATATATGTATATATATATAAATATTAGAACGCCTCTAAAAACAACTTTTTTTGAAATTGTCTGCTAACACCACCTAAATGTGTTTTATGTAATAAATTTTGAAAATTTTTGAATGAAAAAAAAATTTTAGGGGTCGCTCAAGACCCTTAAACATCAAACGAGTCCCTAATATTTTGAAAAAAAAAGTTCTTTAAAAATATATCATGTTGGGTCTCAAAAGAAGTGAAATAAAAATTTCAAAAATAATAAAAACAATTTATGGAAACACAAATTAAAAAAAAAACTTTGAAAATATGTACTTTTTATTTTTTGTTAAAAAATGATGGTTTTTTAACCATAAAATTTAAACTAGTAATCTTTATTTAAATGATTATTATTTTTGAAATTTTTATAAAATTTCACTTTTTTATTCCTAGAATAGCCCCTGATATATATATATATATATATATATATATATATATATATATATATATATATATATATATATATATATATATATATGTATGTATCTACTATAGCATATTTATATGCGCAATTGCTCACTTTTTTTGCTAGTCAAAATTAAGTGAGCGTTTTGAGAAAACGATAAGGGAAAATGAAGAATAATAAATGAAAAGGTTGCTGACCCATACCAAACCCTCAGTCGATGGAGCAGCACTCCATTGCGAGTCAGGCTATTTGTCAGTCAATGTATGTACTGAAGCCCCCGCAGCAGGCTTTTTCAGTATGATAATATCACCTAACTCAGCAGTATAAGATATATATATAAATATATATATATATATATATATATATATATATATATATATATATATATATATATATATATATATATATATATATATATATATGTATATATATATTTATACATATATATATATACATATATATATATATACATATATATATATATATATATATATATATATCTTATACTGCTGAGTTAGGTGAGCATATATATACATATATATATATATATATATATATATATGTATATATGTATATATATATATATATATATATATATATATATATATATATATACATATATACATATATACATATATATATATATATATATATACATATATATATACATATATATATATATATATATATATATACATAAATATATATATATATATACATATATATATATATATATATATATATATATATATACATATATATATATATATATATATATATATATATATATATATATATATATATATATATATATATATATATATATATATATATATATATACATGTATGTATCTACTATAGCATATTTATATGCGCAATTGCTCACTTTTTTGAAAGAAAAAACGAAGAATGATGAATGGAACGATTGCTTTCTCATCCCAAACTCTCAGTCGATGTAGCAGCACTCCACTGCAAGTCAGGCTACTTGTCAGTCGATGTATGTACTGAAGCCCCCGGCAGCAGGCTATTTGATGTTAGGTGAATATGACATCATCATGCTCACCTAACTCAGCAGTATAAGATATATATATATATATATATATATATATATATATATATATATATATATATATATATATATATATATATATATATTTGTATATATATATATATATATATATATATATATATATATATATATATATATATATATATATATATATATATATATATATATTTATACATGTATGTATACATATATGTATATATATAATTTTTATTTATAAAAATTTTAGATTATTTTCAAATAAATTAGAAAAAAAACATTTTTCTTTTTAGCTTGAAAACTTTAACTTTAATGGAGAAAAAATAAAATGAATTACTGGAAAGTTTAAGTCTTATTTATATTTATTTATTTTTAATGACGCATTTCTTAGTAATTCTACAAAAAATGGTGTCTTTAAAGCGGTTTATTTATCTTGTTTTTTTTTTAATTAATTTTCAAATAAGAAAGCTACTAGTTAGTTTTAGATTTTTTTGATTTCAAACTCTTATTTTGAGTTATTAACTTATTTTCTTTTAAACTATCTACTCCAGCTTAAAGCAACTTAATACCAAAAATTGCTGGTACCTAATAAACAGAAGATATTTCAAAATAAGCAATATCACTAATAATAAAAATTAAACTGAAACCCATACATTTTAATTTTTCAACTTTTTTTTTTTGATGCACTCTAATATGTACACACACACACACACACACACACACACACACACACACACACACACACACACACACACACACACACACACACATACACACACACACACACACACACACACACACACACACACATCTTTTTTTAAATATATGCTTTTATCATAAAGTCAATATGAACTTTAAATAATCTTATTAAAAAAATTTTATTAAAACTTTAAATAGGAATAAAACAGAAGACCACTTGCTTCCAAGGCAAGAAGTAGTAAGATTGATTTCTAATATCTCCCAAATATTACCATGCTCAACCAGGGCTGGATTTACCTATAGACCAACAAAGCTGCATCCTAGTTGATCTAATGATAAATCCAGGGCTTCGAAACGGGTTTAAAAAAATGTTTGTTAGGGTTTCGAGGAAATTAAAAAATATTTCTTGATTGTAATGATTGCTCACAACAACTTGCTCTGGACAATTATTAACATTTTGTAAAGTTCTATTTGCACAATAATTTACAATTTCAATCAGAGATGATTCTCCTAACAAAATGAGGGGGGGGGGGGGCGAATCCTTAAAAAGTACAGACTAGTTTCTAAAAAAAACTTTCTCAACACTAAAATTAACAAGACTGAACTGTGTCAAATACCCAATTAGTCTACTAAATTTGTAAAAACTGACTATAATTTAAAAACCACCTTCTTAGGGGAGGGGGGTGAAAAATAATCTCCTCTGTTTGCAACACTAAATCTCATGAACAATTATAAAAAACAATTATGTATAAAGGAATTCTATAACAAATCAGATTTGTTATAGAATTCCTTTAGCATTAAATTATTTGTTGTTTGCTTTTGTATCTATAATTCTTTAGTTTAGCGCTACAGCTCATATATAGATTATCTATATAAAAGCTGTAACAATAAACTAAAGAATTATAGATACAAAAGCAAACAACAAATAATTTAATGCTAATATATATTATATAATGGTTTTTTCATTCTTAATATTATTTAGAGTCCCGAAAATCGATTTAGTAAAACAATTTAGTGCTTTGACTAGAGTTATTTTTAAAAAAATTGGTAAGTCCCTCAACAGATTATATAGAGGCTAGTTAACACACTGGTTGTAACAATAATTTAAAATAAAGAGCCTCCTCCACTGTAATGATGTCCTTAGTCGCCAAAAAACAAATACATTTGAAAAAAAAGAGTATGTAAACATTGTAACTTATTAATTTTTTAAATTATACCTGTTACAATACCATCCTTTTTCATTGAATTGGAAAATTTTTTGTTTTGTTGATCAATTTTTTTTATAGTCTTCTTACACTGTTTATCTGAAAACAATATTTATTTTTGTAACAAATATAACTAAATAAAACTTGTAGCATTAACATTTTATTATTACACTTTAGTTTAAATAATTATTTTTCTCTTTTTTATAAAATAGTTTTTTTTTTTTATTTTTTTTTTTTGATACAATAAACAAAAAAATACTTTATGCAATAAATAATAAAAAAAAAAAATAATAACCAAATATTTTTGCATCATCTTCTGGAGTTATAGAGCGAACCATACCACTTAAACGTCTAAATTCAAACTGTATTTGTTTCTGAACCCTAAGGGATTTTTTTATTTATAAACACTTTAACTGTCTAAAAAAAAAGTAACTCAATAATACAACAAACATTTTAATCAATATATTTCTGAGATAAAAAGTGAAAATCATCTCTAAAACTTGAAAAATTTTAAAATTTAAAGACATTTATTAATAGTTTACGTACAAATGTAAAGTAAAGACTTAAATTACAATATAAATCTATATATATATAATATATATATATATATATATATATATATATATATATATATATATATATATATATATATATATATATATATATATATATATATATATATATATATATATATATATACATATATATATATATATATATATATATATATATATATATATATATATATATATATATATATATATATATATATATATATATATATATATATATATATATATATATATATATATACATATATATATCACAATTATATTTCCTCATTTTTAATTTGATGCAAAAAAAAAAAAAAAAAACTCACGTTAAAACAAATGAAAAAAAATTATTTGTGTTATTGTTTTGTTTATTTTGTAAGCAACCCTATACACATTGCCGATCGCCGGAAACAAATTTAACAAACCTACCGACCCTTCTTGCTATATTCAGGTAGCACAGAGTGCCCTGACTACAACAGAAGGAAAAAACTTTTTTCCTCCCGGGATATCTCCAATTGTCTGACGTCTCTTGACGTTAAAAATCAACGGAAAAAAATAATCAGTTGTCATAAAGTGATATCTGTAAAACTTGACAAAATTGAAAATAATTACGTCAATTTAGGATAAGTGAGTAAGGAAATTATTTCTTATCTTTTTTTTCATTACAATTTAACTTATGAATTATTTCTAATTTGAACAATAATATTATTAGTCTGAGATGATGAAGTGAATAACAAATGAATGTTTATAATTCAATGTTTCATAGTATTTTCTAAAATTAGTTGTCTTCAAGTTGCTCTTAGTGAGGTTTCTTTAGAATCTGATGCTGGTTCCTCTGCGTCAGATTCAGAAGTTGTATTTTTTACAAATGAAGGTTCTGTTGATGAATTATTTCAAAACTCATCCACTGAACCTTCAAAATGAATTAATTTAAATCAGGCTTGAATCTTGAAAATATTCTATCTCCAAAAGATCAATTCATCAAAAGAGATTCAAGAAGATTGAAGATTTTAATAAGAATTATTAGTAGAAAAAAAACTAGGATAAATAAAAATTTACTTACATAAGTGATAAACTTATCTTGATTATTAGGAGACTAGATAAAATAAGATATAATGGAAACTTTAAGGACAAAGATACATGTTCTCCACTTTAGAAAAAAAGATTAAAGAAATTGAGGAGAATTTGAATTTTATTGTTACTTAAAGAATTTATATTAGTGTCACTTCACCAGATATTGATGACGCAAATGATATCATCTGATAGGTAGTTCAAGCTGAAAGCTCCAAGAAAGTTAACAAGGCAGATGTAATCTTAAATCTCCTAGAGTATACCAAAATTTTGATCAGATCTTTGCCATATGTTTTGAAAATATTGTTTCCAATACTGGAGTATTTGTTGGTGCCATTACCATTCTCACAAATATTCTTAACATCCATTTTCTCTGGTTTCTCTGCAATCCATGTTGTAGTTGCACATCTCTTATTTTACGAAAGCTCTCACAGGAGAGACTGGCTAAACGTCAAGGAAGATGTAGAAAAAATGAAGGAGATCATTACGTTTGATTGGAATGAGCTTCAGGTTGGATTATCTCTGTACCAAATTGCAAGAAAGGCCTTAGAGTTTTGCAAAAATGCAGTGACCACAAAGGCATTTAACAGGGGAACTATAAAAAGTTCTGTGAACCAATTGAATTCTATTTAGGAACAGATATATCAGGGTTTCATTTTTATTAACCTGGAACCTGTCATGAAGTCAGGTATAATTAAAGTATATAATCAATAATTTTTTTTTCAGTAGAAAGTACATTTTAATGATAATTTATTTATAAGGTTCATGGCAGAATCTCTATACCTGCTGATCCTGAAAAAGAAAAGAAGATTGTAAAGACAGCAGCATAATTTTTTTCTATATGCTATGGACCCTGGTTTTAAAAGCATACATGATAAAAAAATCAACTTCAAATGACTTGACTGCTTTAAGTAATCAGAAAATAAGGGATTATTACCCAAAACTAGGACAGACTTTTGTTAGCATGTAGAAACATGCTTGGTACTTAACAGAATAGCTAGTTATACTGGCCTTAGCTGGCGATAATTTTATTAAGAAGGTAAAGAAGAAGGTGCTGGTCTGTGTCCCCATGCAGTTTCATTTGGGGAAACAAAGGCTCCGGTTATTACGAGGTCAATGGAGCTTACTGACCTGGTAGGCTCCCAAAGTTGGATTCTGTTCATGGTAGATGAGTTCCCGTTGGAGAGGTAGAGAAGTGGATCAAAAGAGATGCCAGTGAGACGTTTGATTTATTTAAAAGGTTTTTAAAGTCAATCATTTAAGTCAATGACTGCGCGTAAAAAACAAACTGATCCAGGACTTTGTTGAAGGCTATAGGTTGAATGACATAAATCAGAATCCCATGCTCGTTGCCAAAGACCACATAAAGTAACTAAAGAAGGACTTGACAAAGAAGTAACTAAAAAATGTTTAATTTTTGAAATTTATATTTTGAAGAGAGTTCCTAAAATACGCGTTTTTTTCCTAAAAAATAAAGTCTTACAAATAACACTTTTAAATAAACAAAAATGCTTTTTTGCTTTTTTTTTTTAAGCCTATTTGGACCATAGAGGATGGAAAAAGCTTGAGAAGTGTTTTTTTTGGAACACCCTACTCGTTAAGCTCTAACATCCTCACCATGGCAAAAACTACAACTAAAAGAACCTTTTCGTTAAACAAAAACATTTTGAAAAATTTAAAGGTGTTAAAACGCATGTTAGCATGATATATCCTGGTGTTGCCAACCTAAGTGCTGCCTTGATGTCATTTACCATCATACTCATCCTATTTTGGGCATCCCATATCCCCTAGGTTTTTGCTGCTGGATATAAAAACAATTTCTGGGTGTCTTTACGAGTTAGCAAGGTAATCTTCCGAGCTGCACAACAACTGTGTTTTGTTAGAATGACATCATCGCAGTTAATGACATAATCATTGCAACTTTTTAGAACTTTTCTCCAACCAGAAAGGCGTTGAGTTGACTGGCTCAGGATTTGAAGATTAAGAAAAATGTCAAATTTCAATTGTCTACAACACTTTTAAATTTGTAAAATTCTCGAACTAGTTATAGTTATCAGTGAACAGTTTTAGAAATAAAATGCAGTTGAGGGATGACAATCTGCTTAGAGCTTCCCAATTTTAGCTTCTTTTGACTCTACGACACTTAATTCCTTTAAATTTCAATTAAGAATTAAATTTCAAAGAACCTTACCATTAAACAAAAAAGTTTTGAAAAACTGAAATAAAAAGTAACGAGAATGAGTATTATTTTACATGAAGAAATTTCAAATGTAAAGAACATTGAACTCGTTGCATTATTTATATTTTATCACTAAAAGAAAATTACCGTTGTTCTGCAATTATATGTACAAAAGTTGTAGTTTAACTTTATTTGGAATTGTATAGATTAGATTAGATTAAAATTTATTAGAACAGTATACATGTTCTAAAGGACAAGCAGGTCAATAAAATAACGTGTCCTACAATCACATAATACATATGCTAGATAATTTAATATATATATATTTGCTATTTAGGTGCCCCAAGAAGTCCTAACGATCTTGTCACAGAGCACCACAGAAGTGCATTTAACTAGGAAGTTTACGCCTCTTTCCTTACCATGACACAAAAATATGTCCAAAGTTTGTTTTGATCCTGGAGCAAAACAAACTCTGGAAATATAGCAAGCGCTTTAACCACTGTGCCACGGCCGCTACGGCCGATTATTGTAATTTAAGTAAGAATCTATGGTCACATCAAAATCTTTTGGGTTTGTAGACCAGGTTAAATTATGATCTCCTAATTGATAGTTGTAATTTATATCTTTGCAAAATGAAGTAGGTGCTATTTTATGAGTAAAGCACTTATTATTGGCTAATTTTAACTGCTAATTTTTTGACCAGAGAGACCAAACTTTATAAATGGATACAGCAAGATCGTGACTGTAATCGGCATCTTTAAATGAACTATATAGCTTTATATTGTCAGCACATAACATTAAAGAGCAATTAAGATCTTTTGCTATAGGAGGTAGATCATTAATATATAAAAAGAAAAACGTTGGACCCAAAACACTACCCTGTGAAACTCCACTAAGGATGCTGGTCGGATTGGATAGTGAGTTTCCAACCAGAACCTTTTGATATCTGTTAGAAAGAAATGCTGATATCCAATTAAGCAGGTTATCTATCATGCCGTACATTGCAAGTTTTTTCAAAAGTTTTGTATGAGTCAAATGCATTTTGAAAATCAATGTACACTACATAAGTAATTGTATTGCTGTCTAAAGCTTTATTCCAGTCATTAGTTGACTCTTAAAGGTTTGTGCACGTAGATCTTTTGGATAAAAAACAGTGTTGATTAGGTGATATTAGATTATTTATATTAAGATAATCAGCGATACTTAAACTAACAATACTTTCCATGACACGACAGCTAGTACACGTGAAGGAGATAAGTCTATAGTTGTTTGCATATGAAGTAGATCCTTTTTTAAAAATAAGGGGAAGCCAAAGCTTAAAGCTACTGTTTCGGTAACGAGCTTAACGTAAAACCTGATTTAAATGTATATGAAAGCGGAATACATATTATAAGTGTTAACTTTTTTTAAAGTATATTTGGTATATCGTAAGGTCCAAATGATGTGCTAGGCTTTATATTTTTTAGTTTTTGATGAACTATCTTTGCTGAAAAATCTACGAAATTCATTTTAATATGTTCACTAACAAAAGTAATTATTTTAGGCAAATTTCTGTCATCTACGGTAAAAACACTTCCAAAGTGTTTGTTAAACACTTCTGCGGTTTCAACATTGCTAGTAGTAAAGTTGTTAT